GTGGTGACGTGAAGTCATGTGACCGTGCTGTAGTTCCTTTATAGCCCAACATTAGCCACCTTTAGCTGAGCGGTGGTGACCTGAAGTCATGTGATCGCGCTGTAGTTCCTTTATAGCCCAACATTAGCCGCCTTTAGCTTAGCGGTGGTGAACTGAAGTCATGTGACCGTGCTGTAGTTCCTTTGTAGCCCAACATTAGCCACCTTTAGCTTAGCGGTGGTGACGTGAAGTCATGTTACCGCGTTCCTTTATAGCCCAACATTAGCCACCTTTAGCTTAGCGGTGGTGACCTGAAGTCATGTGACCGCGCTGTAGTTCCTTTATAGCCCAACATTAGCCACCTTTAGCTTAGCGGTGGTGACGTGAAGTCATGTGACCGCGCTCTAGTTCCTTTATAGCCCAACATTAGCCGCCTTTAGCTTAGCGGTGGTGACGTGAAGTCATGTGACCGTGCTGTAGTTCCTTTATAGTCCAACATTAGCTTCTTACTGAAAACATCATAAAGTGGGGTTAATATGTGGAGATTATCCTGCCGAACAAAACGTGTACGTTTAAAAAATGTTGAAAGGAAATATATTTGAAATGATGAATCAATATTCTTTTGATAGTTTTTAGATGTGGTAGTATTGCAAAGATTTAGTCAGTGTTTCATCAAGTCGTTGTATTTTATGATCCAAATTATTGTACATTTTATAACGACACCTAGCTTCCCCTGATGTGCGGGGGATGAAAAAGAAACGACATAAAGAGTGTTAAGAGGATACTTTGATGTCCTTCAAAGAAACGGATGGCGTTTAATATTAAAAATAACTCAGCCTCACAGATCTGCGTGCATCTGCAAATAACAGGAGAGGGAGCTGAGGGAGAGGAGGTGCAGTCATGGTAGAGTGGGAAAAAAAGACCAGATTAAAGCAAAGAGCGATGGGAATGAGTGGCTGCGGTGACAATGGGTTGTCAGCAGCAGTATCGTCAGACTCGCGCTTGAAAGAGCATACAACATTAAGCAGGAAACTCATCACACACACACACACACACACACACACACACACACACACACACACACACACACACACACACACACACACACACACACACACCATCCAGGATTGTTCAAAACAACAAGAAAAGAGACGTACAATGGTCACAATATTTTAGTTCTGCTGAGAAATTATGACTTTCTCAAGAATCATCTCAAACAGACTTGTCCTGCTCCTAATTGACACAAATATGTATCTTGTTTTACAGAGTAGGAGCATTTCATGACTCAAAGAGGCCCTATTATGCCTTTTTTGATGTTTTCTCTTTACTGTAGTGTACATTACATTACATGTCACTTGTTAGACGCTTTTATCCAAAGTGACTTACATACTCAATACTGTGGGCAATCCACACAGGAGCAATTTGGGGTGAAGTGTCTCAGGGACACAACGACATGCAGACTGCAGTGGGGTTTGAACCTGTGCTCCCCTGATCCGAACACCAACGCACTAGTCCACTGCGCCACACGCCTCCCTATTATATAGGTTTTAGTGCATGTAAATGGTCTGCAAAGGCTGAAATCCCTGTGTTCCCTCCAGTTTTAGTGTCGGACAAAAGTATATTGTCAGCTTTATTGTAGAGATAATGTGGGATGACAGGAGATTACTCGCATGTTATTTTATTGTACAGGGAATTTCGCAAAGGTATGAAAGAATAAGATGAAACAATAATGATAATTGGAACCGTTGTTGTTTTGTCTTAAAGAGCCACCTCAAAATGTACAAGGACTAAGAACAAATGTCCATATTAACACACACTTCTACTGATTGCTAGAAAAATGATGACTATAATTTGGAGGAAAGTGCTCTGACAAACGCAAGCTTAATGGACCGAGGGACTGAAACTAGTCATCAAATGAAGATTTCCCACAAAGATGGACTTTACCGTCTTAATGAAAGAATGTGAAGACAAGAAAATGAAAAGCCCTTTCTCAAGAACTGTTCAACATGTGTGTTATTAACGTGAAATTGGTTCAGAATTGTTCAGATGGTTTTAAAAATGAAAACCCGAGCACATATGGACGATAATACAGTTTGTTGAGAAAGGAATGGAAAATTAATATTACATTTCTCACTAAGGTTTGTTCACCATCTTCCTCGAGAGCAGATTCAATATTCCCTGTCTTCTATTCTGCAAACCCAGGATGAACACCATTATTCTGAACGATACTCCCACATTTTCCTGCTTTATAATGGCGTTGCAGAGCGCCGTCTAACGTGATCTGATGACTGTGAAGGTCATGCCATATGATTCACATCATTTTCACACTCATCAAACCTTTCAGTGGCCCCGATGGAAAAGGGAAGTGTTTCATCAGAGAATCATTCAGAACAACCATGTTTTTATATTTGATTGGCATTGATCCTTCTCTCCAAGGCTGCCGTCAACCTTCAATATATCCAATACTCTGGTTGCTGAGAGGTTTCTTGCATAATACTCAGGCAACCTCATGGTAGCAGTAGAGGAAGGTCATGAAATCATCTTTATCTGGGACCCATGAATGTCAACAATCTATCTAGATTAGATAAGTGAAAATCTTGAGCTGGTGCCACTACTTTAAAGAGGCCCTATTAGGTTTGTTGGTGTTTTCTCTTCCCTTTAGTGTGTTGTATAGGTTTGTGTGCATGTAAATGGTCTGCAAAGGCAAAAATCCCAAAGTTCCCTGCAGAAACCTCCCTTCCAGAACATGGTGAAATATGTGCAACACTCGCTTTTCTATTGGCTAGCCCTCCAACACATTGTTTGTGATGGGCGGGACATATCTAAGCGGTTGACCAATCACAACAGAGGTGGCCAGCTAACCAATCAGAGCAGACTGGGCTCTGGTTTCAGACAGAGGGTGAAAAGAGGTGCTGCAGCACAGGCAGTATGAGAAAAATAAAGAGCTTTTTGAACATTAAAGCATGGAGACATGTCACAGTAGAGACACTTAATATTGATATGAACCTAAACATTAGCCTCTTTAAAGAATCAATGTCGCCAAAGCAATTAGGATTCTATATTTAGGGGCTATTGATATCTGCTTAAATGTTTTGGCAATCCATCCAATAACTAAAAAGGTCATCCTCATAGTAGCAGTAAAGGAAAAGGCACATAATCACCAAAGTCTGGAGGATTTACGATCTGAATATCCATACAGAAGTTAATGGCAATAGAGATTTCCCTTAAAACTTGATTGTAAGACAAACCATAAATGGTAGAACTGTATGCAAAATGAATATGATGTACCGTGATGGAAAAATTAAGCATTCTGCATAGAACTCCTCCAACCATTTCCTCAAAATGGACAGAGAATAAACGCAAATAAATGTTTCTGGTGTTTTTAGACACTGGTCGTACACCAAATGTACATTTTGAGTTGTTGAACCAAGACACTGCTTTTGCAACAATGGTGTCGCAGCACTGCAAGTGAACCCAAAGAAGAACAGGTTTAGTTGTATTCAGTATTGTAACAATCCATGAGATAATACTTTAACTGCCATTAGATGCCCGCAAAACCTTCAAACACGAGTCTCATGAGTCAAACTGACAGATGTGGGGGTGTTTAGAGCTCCCCTACTAGCCCTGGACTATTTTGGAACAAAAATGACCAGCTCAGGAGGCTTGCAAAACACCCCCAAACCACAGCTCACATTTCCAGCTGTGTAGTCGTTCCACAGGTGACCAACTGGTGTCAGAAAGCCTTTATTCTTGATCCAAAAGAGCAGATGATGCAACTATTTTTATACTGTTGTTCAACCTTTCCCACATGTCCAACAGATTAACGATACTATCTGTCGGACCTAGAGGAACATCTTTGTTGAGATTTCTTATAAACTTCAAGACGGCCCCAAGCATTGTACACACTGTGCCAAATTGCAAAATCTTGACACACTCTTAGCTCATGTTTTATTCAAAACCAGTTGAGGCTTTTTGAGCACAGACACTTTTCACTTTCCAGACAATTCAAGGGGGGTTGAGATGAATAGTTAAGGGGGATACACAGCATAACTGTAGGGTGATTGATTGTTGCCAAAATGTCTCCATAATATCTCTAAAATGTGTCCGACCGGTAAGAAGGTGGATCATAACAGGTGTGCATTGTTATCGGAGGTAATGACGGGCGTTAGATTAGGATGAAGTGGGCTCTGCAGCTGAAGGGCCAGCATAATAGTCCCTTGCCTGTTTAGGTCTCTCTACTCTCTCTTTCATCTCTGTTTTTGCTGCTTCTTAATTCTCTCTTAACCTTATCTTTATCTATGCCACTTGTTCTTGGTTTAAGGCAGTATAGCTTGGTGTAGGCTATACATATTGCAGGAACAGAGAGAAAGAGACATAACAGTGGAATAAAGCTATTTTTGCATAAAAGAGAAAAGATGATTACCACAATATTGTACTTCAAAGCCTTTAAAAAACACACATCTTTCGTTTTTTTGCTCATAACTCTATTTTCAAAGAGAAAGAGGAATAGTTTTAGTACAACTAAAAGTAAGCAGCTTCACAAGAAGTTCTGTGAGGTCTTAAAAGTGCTTTGGCCAACATGGTGACAGCCCTCCAAAGTATGCAGCAACAATACACAATGTAGGAAGAAAACAAAGCTACAGCTAGCAACTGGTTAGCTTAGCTTAGCACAATGACTGAAAACCAAGAAAAACAGATAGTTACCAAACCCCCCTTTTACCACCTCCATATTTAAGCTGTAATATCTTGTTCTTAGATTTGTAGTAAAAAAAAAACACCATGTATTGCGGATTTACAGGGGATTTATTTCTGTGTGAGCAGTAATTCTTCACTGTGACTCGGCAGTTTTTCTGTTGAGCTAAGCTAACCGACTGCTGGCGTTAGCTTAAGATTTGACATGCTGACATGAGAGTCGTACCAAACTTCCTATCCAAATTATGCAAGAACACAACTAATGGTATTTCCCTTAATGTTCTATGTGAACACTCCTTAAGACTTGTTTTAAATGGTATCTAAATTAGCCTGTATTTAGCTAGTGTAAGATCTCAGCTAGCTAAAGCAATCTGTTTGGAGCAAGATCGTGAGTTGTATTTTCTGTTAGCCAATGAAAGTTAATGGTATTTTTCTATTTATAATGAAATATCGCTAACAATTCTCTTTCTTTGAAACTATAACCCATATCTAGAATGTGATTAAATTACATTAGCAGGTGTATAGCAGTATGTGGATGTAGCTATTAGCTTTAGTTGCACCATGCTCTCTAAGCATCTTACTGTTCATTAAACAAGCAAAGACATTTTGTTTTTTAAAGGAGAAAGGTAGAAAATGTTAACAGAGTACTCAGCGGAGTCAATTGGATAAACCATAACTCTCTTTATCTACAGTGTTATCTTATATTAGGAAATTATCTAGGTTTAGCATTATAATAACCTAGCTGTCAACGGCATGACAGGACTTGACAACCTGTCAGCGTTTAAGGTAGAGGTAATTTCTGTGCTCTGCTTTGTAATATAAAATGCTAAATAGCCTGTAGATCTGACTGCCACAAAGATACACTCATAGGTACGTGGTGACCTTTTCAATTTCCATTCAAACAGTGTGTACTTTGAGTATGCATGACAGGCATTTCAAATGAGACGAAGGGAGAGGGATGCTGCCCGGGGTGTTCAGAGCATGCAACAAGGAAACACAGATGGTGTTCATCATTTCAGAAATCCTTCTTTGTGCAGCCTGTTGTTGTGCTTTTACATTTGGAATTACAGTAAAAATGTCGGGTATGGATCAATAGTTGAGCAAATATGTTTAATTCTAAGGACTGACTCTGCAGATATGGTTAAGGAGATATAATCCCAGATGCTGATTTAATCAGTGGAAACATGACTATAGAAGAAAGACCTCAAACTATTCATGTACAATATAAAATATATGTAGAAACAACATTCCAGACGCATAGGTTTTGTATTCTTTACACTGTTTATTGATTCTGGTTTCCTCCAATATTGATTTGTTCACTTGTTGTCCACACTTTGCCAGCATTTTCCCTTTCTCTGTCTTTAAATGCTTTTTTTCTTTCCCAAGGATATACAGTATGTGGCACTAACAGGGGATTCATTTGTCTGTCTTTCTTCTGCAGAGGGTTTGGCTGTGGGCGTTGCATTTGGAGCTATTGGAAAGACCTCAACTGCTTCTTTTGAAAGTGCCAGGTAAGATTGGTGACATGCAAAGAAACATACATGCAGTGAAACATGGAAGAGCAGCACGTTCACATGTTCTGCACAGCATTGCATCTGGACACAAGAAGTGCTGTGATTGGTTTCTCATATGTGGAACAGTTAGTACAAATATATTGTTGTAGTTTTTGTATAAAAATCTTGAGATAGTTAGGTTTAGGTGTAACATTGATGTGTTTAGATTTAGGTCTGGTGCCTTCGAGGTCATTGTAATAAAACGGTCAGACTTTACACCTGTCTTTGCTGTGTGATGCTGACATCTACTGGTTACACTATAGAGCTGCAGGAAGCTTTGTAAAGACGATGTCAATGATTCCCATATTATTTGTGAGACCATGCTGGGTGTTGTTACCCCAGAGGAAAATTGTGTCCAATTTAAAGTCAAATGCATCAATCTGGTACACTTTGAGAGCAATATTAGGACGTTTGATGTATGAAGAACTTTGTATTCTTGTAAACAATTATATAGTATTTTAAAATAATTAATTAATAAGACATTGGTTGTAAAATACACACATTTAATCCACTTCATTTAACCCTTACCAACATCACATGCAAATGCAGATACACGAGACACATAAACAGACATTGACCAACTCTCTGCATATCATTTAGCATTTCTCTCTCCTTTTTATTGTGCATTCATAAGGCATACAGTAAGTGTTCTTTATTGCAGGGCCTGAGTATTGTGCCCTCAGCTAAATACTAAATTCTAACAATGACTATGCTAACATATGCTAACAGGTTTAACGGTCACTGTGTGTACCGTTTTTCTAAATTGCGTCAGATTACTTTCATTTACAGAAACACAAAGCACAGCTGAGGCTTATGGGAATGTTTAGTTTTGCAGTTTTTTTAACATTAACCAAATTATTGGGCAAATTATAAATGGTGACTTGATAATGTCACTTAACCTGTTAAGCACCAAGCCTGTTTTTCATGTTTCAGGCTCGAAAATGACATGTCCAAAACAAATGACTCCAACTTAACTTCTAAAAGGGTTATATGAATAATTTCTTTTATCAAAGCAAGGTTACATCTGTGAGTTGGATGTAGAAGTGTCAGAATCAATATAGATGTTTTTTATTTTAAAGAAAATTCAGATTTTACATAGTAAAAAACCGTAAATTATAGTGTCCGTCCAAAAATTATTTTTTACAGATAGTGAAAACTACCCTTGGATGATGGGTTAGTAGACTAAAAGCTTTATGAATCCAAAGTACAACATATAGTAAGTACCCTGTATCAAGATTGATGCAAAACAAGTGACATTTGACCTTTTTAGAGAGATTTAGCCAAAACCACCCCACCCTCTGAGGTGATTTGGGTGAAAATTGTTTTTTTTCCATATCTCTGGCCCCCCTTGGTCGATTTTGATGGTTGACACCTCTTTCTGACCGTTAGAGCCAATAGAATCGAAGGGGGAGGCCCCCACACACACACGTTGTGAAGAGAAAAGGTGGGGGCTGCGCGCATGTAAATGTGCAGCAGAGTGAAGCGATCTCTAGTTCTGGCATTTGGAAACGAAAAAGCAGTTTTATTGCTTATGGATTATCAGAAATAATTTCAAAGAGGGCACAGATACATTGGATGAACCTATGGATTAACTGCAGCATCGTTTTTTTATCGTTTTAATGCCATTGAAGACCAAGGTAAGCCATGTTAGCGTTTCTAGCTACCTAGCTCCACATGTTATGATGTACGCTTTCGTTTATAGCGTCGCAAATGTTTATCACTGAGTGTTGAGGTGGGCACCCCCAGATTCAGTGTCTCCAGGTGATGCAAAACGAGTGGTTGGCTGTGCATCTAGGATAAGTAATAAGGGAGTTATTGTGAGTTTAAGTGCCGTTTTAGGTTACATTTTTTCGCTCGTGGATAATTCAGAGGCTGAGTGTTAGCATTGTGGGGGTTTTTTGGAAAACATTTTAAAAAGATCAGTTAGCTGAGTTTCTTCCCGTTACATGGATATAAAACATTAATAGTTTATTAAATATTAAGATTCCTTAGACGTTGTTTCCTGCAAATGACGCGTTTATCCGCCCGGTACCCGGTACCGGGAGAAACATTAAGGGTCATCAGGATTCATCCTATGGTCACCATGGATGGATAAACCAAATGTCATAGCAATAGTTGTTCTCTCTTAGTCTGGACATCTGTTGTGTGTCCAGTTTAAAATATTTGCCTTTTTGAGTTTAAGATTAAAGTTTGGTTTGATGTTGGTCTTATGGCTTTACAAACAAAGAGCTTCAATGTCGGTTTACGATTTGAAAGGTGGCATTTTGTCTCACAAGAGTCGGAATATCTGCTGCCAAGTCTGAGAAATAACTCTTTGTCCAAGAAATCTGGTGTTTCAAAAACAAATGCTTAACCAGTTCAGTTCCGGTGACACAACTGAACCCATCGCACTCTACATTTAAATTACGAGGCAACGGCCCCTCGTTGAATTTCAGAAAACAACAGGCCGCTGTTTGTGGGAAACATCTGTTGTGTATACTTGTAATACCATTCAGGTACTTCTTGTATTTGTCCATAATAACGTTGAGCTGTTGCTGATAAACGCCCACTGCTGACACCGCTCTCGACCCGTCGGCCTCCTCCAGACGAGCCTGATGGATCAACATCTGGGTGTGAAACGCAGCGCCGTTCACCCACTGCTTCAGAAGCATAGAGTTCATCTGTCCATCGACCAGCATGGAGTTCTGGGAAAGAAAAAAGAGCACAATAGGTGTTAGAGCCATTTTCCTTTCATCATTATGGTTTGAATGTTTGTCTTTAGAGTAAACTCTCAACTATTTATTTGTGTGAGTCACACTAGAAGAAGTTAGATAGATAGACGAAAGTGGTTATTAAATGTAGAAACGGATTAAAACGCCACGACAATAGGATTACTTACTGATTAAGATAAAATATACTCTAATGATCCCAATTTGGGAAACTGTTTCGTCGCCAAGATTAACTAAATATGCAAAACAGTGAATATAAACATATCAATAATGAGGATATTTATATCTATAGAGTATATACATTGAATACACAATATACATATACAGAATAGAAGGCAGTGTACATTATGTTTGTCTAGCCTATCCCACTTTACAATTTACATTTGAGTTAACGGTTGAATTAACGTTTTAAGTTAAATTGAATTCCTCAAAGGACCTCCTGAGAAACAGTTTATACAAATGAGGGAATTAGTGATTGAGAAGGACATTACAGGAGATATTACAATGTAGCATGATCCTTCAAATACAGCTGGAAGACTTGTACTCGGTTGTACCTTTAGCCGCGTTAGCTGTGCACTGAGATAGAGCTCTATTAGCCGGGTCTCAGCTAGTTGGATCAGTGGGTTCCCCAAGTTGATCTGCAGACGCTTCAAATACTCGTCCATCAGGTCTCGGACCTTCAGAGTTAAAAGAATGTCAACATTTATGAAAGCCTATTTCAAATATTGGTCAGATAAACGTTTTATATATCGATTTTGAAGGGTTACATTTAAAAGGTTAAACATTTGTTCTGAAATAAAATCATACATTTTATAAATATGATTTAATGTTTGAGACAATATTTTGGTTTTGTGAAAAGGTCAAATATTGTCACCTAGTGGCGACCTCTGTAGTCAACAGACTATGAAAGACTACAATTCTCAAGCCTTTAGGAGACACATATGCAAAGAAATTATCATTTAATTAGAATATTTCCTTTATTGTTTTGATTGGATCGAATATTATAAAGGCCTATTTAAGTGGCCCAAGTTGCACATCATCAACACACGCAAACAAGTCATCACAGCTGTGAGTAAAATAAATTAATTAAAAGGCGTTAAAATGCTTGTTTTTAGAGGCTTAATGGAAACAAAGGAAGGAAGTCGCGACAGCTAACCTTAACAACCTGTTAATAAACCAAGGAACCATCAGGGTCTCACCTCATTGCCCTTCTCCTCTGCAAACACCCTCTGCAACATTTCAGCAGTGCCCATGGTTTTTTTCCCCATGCTTTTCCCGACTGACTCTAAGATCATGGAAATGATGAGAGCACCGAGTCCCACAGCGTTGGGCACCACTTTGAACACAGCGAGTGCACCACCCAGCTTCTCTATAGCACTTGGAACATCAAAGGATCCTTTGTCGTTAAAGACTTGGTCACGGTAACTGACCAGCACATCGGTTGAGTTGAGTCCAGAGTAACTTAGCAGGGAGCTGAGTGCAGAGAAATACTCATTAGTCTTCTGTAATGGAAATTATGATTATCAGAGAATTGATTGCTATAATGTTATATTTAACATATAAATAATAATATTCTCTCAGCCTTACATGTCAAGAGACAGTAGATCTCAGGATTCAGGAAGGTATTCAGTCACAAAGTGTCATGTGACCACACAGTGGGTGATCATTGGTCTGATCATGGGTCTAATGTACTCTGATACGGTCAGTTATCTCATGGCTAAGCATGTATTCATTGTAACTGTATGTCAGAGTTGGGCTGATTGAGTGTTTCTGATGGGTTGCAGTGGAGTTGAAGGAAGTTCTGTTGCATCCAAGATTTAATATCAGTAAGAAGACTTTGGAGGTTAAAGTTGAATGTTATCGGTATGGCAGGGAAGCAGGATTTGTCAGAGGGGAAGGATTTACAGTGCAAAAAGAAGGGGACCGAGGACTGAACCCTGGGTAGGGATGGGTATCGTTAAGGTTTTAACGGTACTACTACTTTTATCGATACCGCTTATCGGTCCGGTCTTTTAACGGTACTCTTATCGGTTCTTTTGGAGAGAAAAATGAGGTAAACGAACTATATGTTGTATGTCAGGGACTACGAATGGAAATTAGCTCAAAGCTAAAATCCGGCATATTTACACTTGAAGCATTATTTGTCTAAAGTGTTCATTAATGTGCATTGTCCCTATTCAAATAAACGATTAAATGACAAATGAAAATAAACAAATTGTGAACAAAACTAACATTGCTTTTTATTTAAAT